TTACACGGCGAAGAAATGATCGTTGCCGCTCCTTAATTTTATCAGTGTAAGGTTAGGATTTAACGAATGTTAGCAACTGGTAGCACTTGGCTAGCTCACGAGCACCCGGCAGGTTCGGCAATGTAAACAAGTCATCCAGAGCCATTTTGTCTGCATTAGAAACAAACACCAGTATTATTAATTTTAGCGGTTACAATTAGAAGTGTGTGAATGATATTGCTGTTATCAACGAGGAACATTCAATTCTATACTCACAGTGTAAATGAAAGGTTTATATCGCTGCCACCAGCTCCCTTCTTCTACTCTTGACAGTTTGCAAATAAAACCTTATTTTTCAGTTTGACGTACAAATGATTGACGTCTACAACAACCAATGGGGAGGAGAACGGTTTCGACAAGGCATAACCTAAAAACTACATGAGCCAATAAGCAACGACCTAGCTCATGTAAAGTGCATAACTGTAACACTACGGAGAGAAGAGTGTTAGCGGCCTCTAGCGTTGAAACTTGGTTTGGTGAGGAACCACCAGCTAATACAATAATGATAACTGGGCTGAACAGTGGTGGGCACTGTTGTCTCACAGCAAGAAGGTTCCATGTTTGAGTCCCTATTCAGGAATAAGTAGCATGGATAATGATAATCACTTTATTTGGCCAAGTATATTATACACACAAGGAATTTGCCTCCGGTACAGAACTGAGGCAACCATCTGTGGCACCAACTCATAATGCATTGTTTAGATTAAACGACCCAAGACTAGCCTATATACAGCTATTGAAATTAACTACAACATAAAATTGTTGTAAGACATTTACATGGAATGTAACATATGTTATACTGTAGCATTGCTAATTTAACTGGTGAGAATACTGGTTCTACCAATGGATCATAAAGGGAACCAAAAATATTAAATAGCACAACATTTGTCAGAAAAGAAGATTGCATTAAAAAAAAAAAAAGAGGAGACAAAAAAACAACGTGCAGACAAGTGAATAAGACTGTAAGCACTATAGTTGTTTTAACACCAGAGAGGTGATAATAGGAACAACCTGACAACTGGAGCACAGAAACAAGGCAGTGTATGGTTAAGACCACAAGCCATGGGGAGTTAGCCAGGTGATCTGAATCAGCCACTGATTGGCAGTAGTGAAGCCAGGGAGAGTGAGATGGTGAAAACCTGGAAGCTCTTTTCAAAATAAGAGTCTCCGGTGTACCACAGGAAATCAGGAGTGGAACATCAGAATCAGAATCTGCTTTATTGGCCAGGTGTGTCGGACACACAAGGAATTTGACTCTGGTACATCGGCTCTCAATGTGTATGTACATGACAAGTACAGTGGATTTAACACCACATGAGAAGATCCCTGTTCTACGGGCTCAGTGTGGTGTCAGAACACCATACAAAACAAGACTTCTTCAGAGGTGGAAGGTGCATGTCCCTTCACCAGTGCAGCTGTGCAACAGCGGTTTATGACTCTGGGTGTAAATGTAGAGTGGCAGTGGTCTGGTTGCTAGTGGACATTGTTTTTAACCAGCTGTTTTCCAGTTCCACTCAGTGAGATGGAAGTCTGTTGAAAGAAAATAGTGTTTTGTTAGAAACACCCTGTGCACCGATCAACCATCTAATGTTGCTTTGCTCAGAGCTATAATGACTCAAAGACTGTGTTCTTCTTTGATACCAGAATGAAGAGAATCACTCCATAAGATGTAACCCTGTTTTTTTATTTTATAAATATCCAGAACACATGAAGATCAGCTCCCTTTGTCTTTAATGTCATTGGACAGCCTGCATGTTGTCCTGAATAAATACATTTTGATCCTTATTAGAGTTCCTGTGAACTAAAAACAGCTCAAATCAAAGTCAATATGAGCAGGTATTTCCTCTTAACCCAAATCCTATTAAATCCAAGTTGCCTCCACTCCTACAAAGCTTGTTTTCCAAAACAAAACCATGCAGCAAGTTTGACCATTTCTATTTGTCCTTCTTCCAGAGACATGGTGCCGTTTGAAGCTACAGACTCAAGTACACACAGCAGCCATTCATGTACAAGAAAAAACAAACACGCCCTGCTTTCAAACTGAAGCTCCCTTGAGAGGTTTTTCTAACAACATCCTTTCTGCAGTGGAGAGCAGACTTCCTGGCTGCACAGAAGCTTCTTAGGTTTGAAAAGTTCAGAAGTCACATTGAGACAGAGCAACGAACATAGCAGAGCATCCAGGATGAACCACAGCCATTTTCTCTCTCTGTTTTTGCTCAGTTTTAACGAAGAGGCATGGTGGTGTTGATTGTCCCACTTCCATCCATTATCTGTACCACTTATTCCTGAATAGGGTCACGGGGCGGCTGGAGCCAATCCCAGCTGTCACTGGGTGAGAGGTGGGGTCCACCCTGGACAGGTTGTCAGTCTGTCAAGGGCTGACAGAGACTGACACCCACCTGCACTCACTCCTATGGGTAATTTAGTCACCAATCAACCTAAGATTGTGGGAGGAAGCTGGAGTACCTGAAGAAAACCCAAAATCAGTGCAAAATCTGAACAGAAAGGCCTTGGGTTGGCCAGGGCTGGAACCCAGAACTTTCTTGCTGTGAGGTGACAGCACTGACCACGCTGATGTGCCATTTTCTCAAGCTATTAGCTATTCACGCTATTACAGCACTGCTCCTGTAGTGTGACTTTTCACAGGGTCTCTGCTGTCATATTTCTTACAGACACTGGGCTCAGATCTGAAAATAAGCGACACAAAACCAAATCTGTTTTATAGTTTGTAATTTAGCAAATGTATGCTCCAAATGATTTTGTGCTCTGAAAACACATACAGTCAATAAAGTCAAAAAATGTTTAAAATGACCTCCACACTGAAGACAGCAAAAACAACCTATTTTACAGTAGTGTTGTAGTGCGTGTGCTGCAGACAGCAACCCGGTTCAGAAAGAAACCTTTGTGGTAAATGTCTGCTGATCCCCAAGGATCCAATTGAAACCCTGTCACCACTCCATTACTACTGTGGGTCAGTTTAGTTCCATCTATGGGGATCAACACTGTTACTGATGAAGGTAGCAAACACATGAACAGCCCACAGACTCCTTCTTGTGTCATTGCGACACTGCACTGCAACAATTTTGTTGACAGTGTTGTTGAGGTGGGGCTGGAGTGAAAATTGGTTCAGCTTAACAATTTAGTCATTTCACCCAACGCTGCCTTCAGTATAAACAACCCTGTCTGTACACGCAGCTTTTCCCAAAATGTCTCAACAAATAGCTAAAAGTGGAAAAATCTAAACACTGTAGAGGAAATACAAGACCAATGCTGACACAGTCCCACCACACAGGAGCAACGAAGGCCTCCCTCCTCTGCTTTGAGGCCTGTGAGGTAGTTCAGTTACTGGACACTGTTCAGACAGGGCAACCTGGACTTCTCAAGTTTAACATTCTCTTCTTTCCTGCATCTCTTCAGCTTCTCCTTAGTGTTTGCATGGAGGTGGAGAGATAGAGGAGTTCACAGAGGAGTCAATGAGCATTAAAATAAGCCGTGACTTGAATTTCGCTACAGCATAGAACAGAAACCTACACGGAGCCTGTACTGCTGTTGGAAATAGAGCATTATTGTCATCATGTCCCACTTAAACTCAGACTAGATTTCCATTATAAGTTAAATGGGGTACATATGTAGCTGCAACATTTTTAGGTGTGTGAACACACTGTATTGGTACATGATGCTGTTTCCTGCCCAGTGAGCACTCAGTGGTGCCTGGCTGAAAGAGCGCTTTGTCCCCAGAGCAGAGGGTTTTTCATTTCAGGAGTAAAAGTAAGCAAGAGGAGAGAAGTTAAAGGAACAAGGCATGCTACCCTCAAACATTTTAACAGCCCATTAAAGAGCCCAGAGGTGACAATGGGACAACAGAGCAGAGATTCTGTAGCATGTCTGTTTTATATCATAAATGTCTTGTGAAAGGTCTAGTCACAGCAGCTTTGCTCCCCCTAGAGGTCTGAGTTCTGTCTGAGAATGTGAGCAACTATAAAATGATGGGAGAGAATTAAATCAGTCAGTTTAATTGTTGAAAAGCCTACGGTCTGGTCATCATCTAAAAAGATCATTACTTTATTTTCACCAAGCTGAGTGATACAACATGCCCACCATCTCTTTTTACTCTCTCTATCCCATCACAGGGCCAAAATAAGCCCCAGTTGTTTCCTTCAAAATAAATGCTCAGCTTGTACCCTTTATGGAAATAAGTACATGAAATAAAAAAACAAAGAATCACACACACTGTCTACCATTTTAACTCACCTCATGTTTTTCTTGAGACCTTTATCAGACAAATTTCCTACAAACAATCCCATATATACTAAAGTGTCGAGCTTCCAGAGACTTAGAGCCATAAAACATCTGTTTGTGATGGACTAGTAGCAAATACATGACAAAATCTCATCCTGATTTTACAAAAAAAAACTGCATTTTTACTGGATTCAGTACATTTTAAAAGCACATGAATGAGATTCTGCACTGATTGACATCTGGAAGCCAAAGAGAAACTCAATCTAATGTGTAGTAGATTTGCTATGATGATGGTGAACAGAAAAGGTGCAGGCTAATATTTGCTAGGAAATGTGGAATATTTTATGGATTGTGTAGGTTTATTGTCAGTGTCAGAACCACCTTGACTCATTTCAGTAGATCAAGATAATGCCAAAATAAATATTTTATTTTTACAGTAAATCAAATTTATGTGACTAAAACCGGATGCATTTGAATTTATTTTATGTTCACCAACACCACTGGGTTTGCGAAGTCTTCCAAGTGAGCTTTCAAAAGGTATTTCCACTTCTTCCAAAACATCACACTGTGTGTAACCACCTCCACAGCTGCTAGGTTTCTAAGAAGCAGTGTGCTTTTATTTTGACATTTTGACTGTGAGCGGCACCCTGTTTCCCTATGAGGTTTGACAGCGAGATCTGGTCCAAGTCTCTTTCCTCTGCATGCAGCCAAGCATCCTGAGTTTTCTACTGCTGTTGCTGCTCACTGGGACTTTTCAAGTTACAACCTGGAAACCCAGAGCTCCACTGACCCAAACGTACAGTTTGACTTCAGCAGGCATAATGGTATTTATGCAACAGGTGGGAAAATATTCTTTCTTTAACTGTTTGTGTTTGTTATGAACAGGTTATACCAGGCCTGTTGCAAAGCATTTACACCTTCTTTAATATTGTAATTAATTGATATTCTTTATGCTCTCATGCACTAAATTAAAACTGGATAAAGTTAGTTTTAGATGTTCCTCCCTGAGTCCACCCATGGCAAATATTCTAGTATGTTTGTTTTGTTTCATTATTTTCTCAAATGTAAAAATATTTTAAAAAGAACATAGCTATAAAATAAAAGCTGGATTTATATTTTTCACCCGAAATTGGACAATTAATAGCTTGGTATCATAGCCGTATATCTGAAAAACCCTAAACAGCATTAGAATAAGTGTAAACCAAAAATTATCTGACAACGGCCAAAATTAGTTTAATTACAACTTGATCATGTACTTGGTAGCAGCCAAACAACCTTCCAGAATTATATTCTAAAACTGATTTCCCTAGTACATTTTTTGGCGTTCCATAAAGAATGTCAAAAAATGATTGAAGACGAGTCAATACAACTCTATTGATTGTCACACAGGTGATTAGACTTTAAGAAGGTTTAAAAACAACAGGTGCAGGAAACAACTGCAGAAGGTTAATGTCCAACTACAAACACCACTATGGGAGAACTATTGAAATATTTAAGTGGATTTTTTTCTATTAGCGAGGCGTGTTTAATATACTGGACACATGAGAAACATGTCTCATGTACAAGGGACGACCACACCTTTGGCATGTGCCTCCTTCCATCATGTCACACTTTTCTCCAGCCTGAATGTGGGCAGTGTTGAGGCGTTGATGGAAAGGCGCGACCATGGAACATACTGCGTGCTGTTTACATAGGCCCTGGTGTCAGAGCTGCTTCAGGAGGAACAGGTCGGGTCTTATGGGCCCCGGTCTCTCTGGGAGTGCACCTCACACCACAGTGGCTGAATGAGTGCAGTGTGGAGCCGGGCACCGCCTCAGCTCACACACACACACCTCAGCCTTGAAGAGACATCCCCTCTGGGTTTCTAACACTTTTCAAAGTAGCTAAAGAAAGTTAACCCCTTCTGTGACTAACATCAACTAGAAAGTTGTTTTTTGAAATGCTACTTAGCAAAAGAAGCTAGAAACAAAAGTGTGGGAAAATTCTAATATCCAGTTAGATATTTTAATTATAATTAGTTAAAGTACAAGTCATATCTATTGGCATTGTTTATACATGTAAAATTATAATTTACCAAATGCTGCTTCTCTAAGAACATCGGTGCAAAAAAGCAAAACATAGACCACAAGACAATAAAACCAACAAAAAGCAAGTTAACAGTGATGGGAAGTATTCAGATATTTCACTTAAGTAAAAACAGGCTTTTATACTCACTTACTCTAATGCAATTAAGTGAAAGGTACAGATGTTTCATCAACAAAATGTGATAAGAAACAAAAAGTCTATTCAAAATGAGTTCAATTATCTCTGACAAAGCATTATAATTTACAGTATAAAGGAATCATTAGTTCTGCATGCTCATCTGAATCATGTCCAATAAATGTGACATATGAAAAGCAGAAATTATAAAATGAAACAAGTACCTCAAGACTGTATTTATTACTTAGTTTACTTAGAGTTGTGCAACTGTAATCAGAGATCTATATAAACAAAAAAGTGCAACTACACTAAATACAAAATGCTGCAGCACCAGATGTAGTAGGTCATGTATTAATTGTATTACTAATAATTTCATATTTTTACGTATTTATTTTACTAGTAAATTAGAAAATACTATCCATTTACATTCATACAGCAGTGTGAGGTAACATATTTCTAATCAGGTATATTATCTTCTCTGCTTTCTAAAATTAAAATGTGCTTTCTTTTACATTTTTGCTTTATCTTTCACACTGTACATGGCAGTGACTGCAGGCTGCTGAAACTGCCATCATCAGAACTGTCTTAACATCTCAGCCTGGGTATAAAGATGTTTTTGATTTTCAGGTAAACATGATTAGGTGGACTGTGCTGCTGCCTCTGTGTCTGAATGTCATCTCAGCATCATTCGATTACATTTATGACGAGCACTCCTTAATGGGTAAGGAGTTATAATACACCTGCAATGTTCATCAAATGCATCCTAAAACCTCTGGACCCTAATTTTGGCCTGTCAGCCTGGATTATGTTCGAGTTATTATGTGAAACATTGAATTTTAAATCTAATGAGTTTAGCTGGAGTTGGTGTTATTGTCCTCCTCCTTTTGCACAGACCCAGAGGACGTGCTGAGCGTGAGCATTCCTCTAGAGGAGCCACAGCGCCCTCTGCTGGGAGGAACCATGATACTACCATGTTACTTTGAGGTGTGTAATTCTGAGGTTTTTCTGTGTCACCTGATTTTGGATACCATTATATATTCTATTGTATTATACATTATACCCAGAAATGATTTGTACTCAGCCTGTTCTCAAATCTGCCACTGCTTACATAATTTAAAGGTTTGCAAATCAGTTGAAATATAATATTTGGACACTGAATCAAATGGCTATGTGAAGCTTTAGAGTAATCATTCACACTGCAGCTAGAAGGAGGCTTAAGTCAGTGATGCATTTTAGCATCTTGTAGCTCAGTGTTTGGGTTTTACAGTATCTTTACTGCTCGTTGCAGAAGCAAACTCTTCACCCTCATTTCCAGCAGCAGGCAGCTGTTTTCAAAACATCATGAAACCCACTGTACACCACCTGCCAAGCAGATCAAGGCAGATCTAAGAGGGAAGTGAATTTCAGATTTCCATCCATCAAATGGACAAAACAGGACTCCAAAACTTTAATTTTGGCTGGATGTGTAAATAGGTTTGCCTTCTAGTGGTCAAACTACTTCAACTATAAAGCTGCAAAACAGAAAAAGTAAAAGTAAAAAAAAACTCAGTTCAGCTGATTCACAAAAAAAAAATCTCTTGACATCAAACTGGTGTGGTAAGATTCTGAGTCTCCCTAAGACTTCTGATGCTTTCCCTGAATGACGGAGATAAATTGGTTTGTGCTGCTCATAGCACTAAAAATGAAAAAGCTAAGAGCAGAATTCGGGTTAATCCACAGACCTTGCTGTCACTGGTCTTCTTTGGTATTTGTGTTGTTTTAATGATGCACAGTACCAGCCCTTCACCACATATCATAGTGTGTAGAATGTGATTCTTGAAATGCAAAACCCGAGTTGCTCTACTTTAAGGTTGCATCCATGCAGTAGGAGTAGGGGAAATGGTTGTGTCCTGATAAAGTTACAGAGATACTGATTCTGTACCGATCACCTCTGTAAGTGTAATTGCCTTCTGGTTGTTGTGTGTGAAGGCCTCAGTCCTGGCTGGTACTATGCAGTTCAGGCTGCTGTATTTTGAGTTTCCTTATCTTTTGTTGACCTCTTTTAGGGCCCTGTTTGTTTGATATTGATAGTGTTTGTGTTTTTCCTTATTTTTGGGTAAATAAAAATTCAAATGCTGTGTCCTCTGCTTTACTGTTTAGTCCCTGACATTGTGTTTATTGTAAGGAACAAATTAGTGATGAAAGCTTTTGTTTCTTACGTAGGACCACACTGTCCCAGACCCAGGAGCTCCCACCGTCATCCCCCTTTCTCATCGCATCAAATGGAGCCTTGTCACTAAAGACAAAGTCACAACCATCCTAGTGGCCTTGGAAGGAAAGGTGCATTTTGGTGAGAGTTACCAGGACAGAGTTCATCTAGTGGGCTATCCCAGGACCCCTACAGATGCTAGCATCAAGATATTCGAGCTACGATCCAGTGACACCGGAGTCTACCGCTGTGAGGTGCAACATGACATCGAGGACAACCACGACATCGTCCATGTGCAGGTTCAAGGTATGCAAATGAGCTGTCAAGTGCCATGTAGAGCCAACGAGGTAACTGTGGATCTGAGTATGTGTTACATTTGGGTGATACTACTGTTTTCTTCAGATTGGTTACCAGATCCATGTGGATATGGCCTGTGTGAGATAAACTGCCATAACTCTGTGCAATTAGGAAGACAAGTGCACACATCTGTCAGTGATCCTGCAAAGTTTGTTGGCATTCTAATAAAAAATGGCAATAAATAAACATGTTAAATTTAAATGGCCACAACTGAGTATCCATGAGTCAGACCCATGTGAGATTTTGCACAGAGTAGTCCTTTAAAACACCTTCACCTTTAAACATAAGTACTTGTTCATCTCTCTAGGCATTGTGTTCCACTACCGGGCCATCATGGGGCGCTACAGTTTGACTTTTGAGCAGGCAAAGACAGCATGCACCCAAAACAGTGCGGTCATGGCTTCACCTGAGCAGCTTCAAGCGGCCTACGAAGATGGATTCCACCAGTGTGATGCTGGCTGGCTCTCTGATCAGACTGTCAGGTCGGTTTATACATGGCTGTCAACTCTCTACTACCCCTGTTAACACAGGGCACAATGACACAAACACACCCAGAGTTGAAACTTGACTCCCAAACATGAAAATGTATGTATTAATTAAAGTGAAAAAATATTCCGGTATTATTTTGTATAAAAGTCTCTATCAGATACCTACATAAATACTAGCCCCACCTTGTGACTCTCATGTATTACATACCCTAGAGTATATGTAATAGATGGGAGTCACCTAAATGCTAACCTTCCAATTGGAAATATAAACATTTTATTTATTTGTTAAAATCCTTTTCAAGCATGTAGCTTGAAACAAAGACTGAGGCAGGTTACTACTAAAGTGTTTGTTATTAAAAACAACACTTTAAAAACTCAATTACAGACTGAAATAACTGTACTTACTGGTACAGTAGTTACTTTCCATTAATAAAAATATTTAATCTTTAGTCATAGTTGGTTTGTACATTTGCATCATTGCTAGAAAGCACCGCTTTGAAAGCATTCCTTTGTGATGTGTTCAAGGTTGCTTTAACATCAGATTATTCAAAGTTGTCTGAAACTCAAACCGATTCTTTGCAAAAGAGAGGAAGTTTTAAGGTTGCAGTGCACATGTTAGTGTGAGCTTGAAAGCATTTCATACACAGAAGCAATTCAAACTACATCATTTGCAGCATTATAAACAATGAGCATTCAAACCACAATAAGATCAGTTAAGACAGAATAACGAAGGCATACAGTATGTTGTATCAAAGACACTGAAACTATTTTCACTTAACCAAAGGTACCCAATCCATGATCCTCGTGTGAACTGCTATGGTGATAAAGAAGAGCTGCCTGGGGTCCGAACATATGGAGTGAGAGACCTCAGTGAGACTTATGATGTCTACTGCTTTGCTGAGAAGATGACAGGTGCAATGTGATGAACCCTGCAGTGTTTCTGGTTGTAGTATGTAATGGGAATTTTCTGGATTTGTCTGTTTCATTACTTGTCTTTTAATTCTAACAAACCTCTATTATCTGATGCAGGCAGAGTTTTCTACACTGCTTTTGCAGAAAGGTTCACCTTCTCTGAGGCTGTGGTGGCATGCTCCAATCAGGGAGCTCAGTTGGCCACTACAGGTCAGCTCTACCTGGCCTGGCAGGGTGGGATGGACGTATGTAATGCCGGCTGGCTGGGAGATGGGAGCGTCCGCTATCCCATCAACATTCGTCGGCCGCAGTGTGGAGGGGGTCTGTTGGGTGTACGAACCGTTTTCCTCCACACAAATCAGACCGGATACCCACATCCTGAGTCCCGCTATGATGCCTTCTGCTACACAGGTAGACCATCATTTAATCATACACCAGTATCTTCACCAGTCAGGGATTCTTACACCAACAGATAGAAACTGCTCTCTTTAGCAGCAAACATTTTGCTGGGTGCAAAATACCCCCTAGGCAAACACCAAGTGAATCTTAGTAAATCAACAATACTGATTTAGCAGCTGTAGCAGCAAACAAATATCAGGGCAACAATCAGTAATGCCAGACAATAACAGAATAGGTAGCATTTAGCTGTTGATGGTAGTGGAGCATTTAACAGTTCAAGAGCCAGATGTTTCCCTCAGGAGCTGGTAGAGACCAAAAACAGAGCTCAAAGGAGAGTGAATATTAAACATAGCTCCATGAGGCATCCTTCTAATGAATTCTAATGCTGTTCTGTGTCTGCTGGGTGTGTAGACAGGAAAGTGTTTGCCAACACCTTCACCAAATCAACTTTATAAGGTGATAATATTCTAGTGCTTTGTTTGCAGTTTTTTGTGCAGCCTCCAAGTAGCCAAAAGACCACATTATGCAAATTTAAATGGTGTGAAGTTACAAATCTTACAAGATCGGAGGGCCAGGTTTTTTAGAAACTCACTGCTATTACATGTTTTCCAGAAAGAGAATATAAATGGATTTTTCTACACTGTGTTCATAATTTGTCATTTTAATAAATAAAATTCTTAATTGCTAGTATTTGTTGTCAGTACTGTAGGTGGAGATTGACTCCGTGAAACAGAGGGAAAAAAAACCCCATTATGAACCTATAAAGCCACAGCTTTTACAGTTTTAGCATTTCCTTACTAATATCTCCCCCTCTCACCTTCAGAGTCACCCGATGAAGAAGGTTCAGGCTTTACAGAAGAGGGCAGCAGCGTGCTGAGCGTTACTACAGTAACACAAAGCCCAGAGGTGTTCTTCAGGAGGACAACCACAGAAAGCGAAGCTGTTGGAGAGGTGGAGACCCAGCAACCCACCAATGTGGACCTGGCCTATACAGAGAGTCCCTCCGAGCTGCCACTGCCTCTGCCGCCCAACATCACTGAGCTCATCACAGACCTGATTGAGTCAGTTACCGCTCATCCTGATGTGGGGAGGGAGCCCAGCCAAGGCTTTGTGATGCCTCCAACAGGTCAGTGATAGAACTGCACTCATATGTTATGATAACTGTAACATCATTAGTTCCTAAATGTAAAAATAGTTCCACCACACAAGAATTTCTCCTGTTTCTCTATGCAGGCGTAGTTTTCCATTATCACTCAGGCCGATATGCCTTTACTTTTGTCGAGGCTCAGGTGGCATGTCAGAGTGTTGGAGCCTCCATCGCCACACCTGAGCAGCTGCAGGCAGCATATGAGTCTGAATATCACCAGTGTGAAGCAGGATGGTTACAGGACCAGACTGTAAGGTGGATTTGACACCTATCTTCAGAGTGGATAATGAGATTCTTGTCCTAAACTAGATTTGATAACTCTTGGCTCTTTTCTAGGTATCCCATTGTTTTCCCTCGAGATAAGTGTCCTGGAGATCTGGGGGATCAACCTGGAGTCCGGTCCTATGGTCTGAGGCCAGCAGATGAGCGATATGATGTGTACTGCTACATAGATGGCCTCAAAGGTATGAAAGACACTATTTTGCTTTAATTAAATACCCACTATTCTACCACAAAAGCCCAGAAATCTATTTGAAATTTTATATTATCATGCAAAGATGAGTCAGGCTTGCCAGTATTAGTCATTTTTTTACCAGCATTGTCTTCATGTGCTCCACAGGTGATGTGTTCCATGTTGCATCTGCTGAGGGTTTCTCCTATGATGAGGCTGTTTCCAGCTGTCAAGAGCAGAATGCTGTACTAGCCTCCACGGGGGAGCTCTATGCGGCCTGGAAAATGGGTTTTGATAAGTGTCGCCCTGGCTGGCTAGCAGATCGTAGTGTACGTTATTCCATGAACAATCCCCGCTCTGAGTGTGGTGCAGGGAAATCAGGAGTGTACACAGTCTACACTCAGTCCAACCAGACAGGCTACCCTGAACTGAATGCCAGATTTGATGCATACTGTTTCAGAGGTAAACACTTCACTGTCACTATCCTATATACTTGTTCTGAATATTTATCGTTATTCACTAATGTGACTGATGTGCCATTTTCTTTTATTGCTGAATTCTTGCAGTGGATAATTTACTTATTGCAAATGAAACTGGACTGAACATCACAGATATCCAGGGGGCTCTTCTAAACCTGACATCATTTACTGATTTGTTGAGACCCGGTAGGCTCTGATTAAACCCTGAACAAATTATTCTTTTACCTGTCCAAATTTACCTTTCATTTTATTTTTCATGTTCCTCACACCTTTTTTTTATATTTCTTTTTAGCTGTTCCCTCAATTGTCCCTCCTGTCCTTGTGGAGACTTCAGGCTCTGGTTCAGGCTCAGCAGACTTCGACTCAGGGTTTGTGTTTGGTAACACCTCTGGGGATCACTCTGGAGACTCGTTTGGCTCTGGAAGCCTCTCTGGTTCTGAGGACCAAGTTATCTCTGGAGACCTCTCTGGTTCCGGAGACCAGGTTATCTCTGGAGATTTGTCTGGTTCCGGAGATCAGGTTATCTCTGGAGACCTCTCTGGTTCCGGAGACCAGGTTATCTCTGGAGATCTCTCTGGTTCTGGAGACCAGGTTACCTCTGGAGATCTGTCTAGTTCCGGAGACCAGGTTATCTCTGGAGACCTCTCTGGTTCCGGAGATCAGGTTACGTCTGGAGATCTGTCTGGTTCCGGAGACCAGGTTATCTCTGGAGGCCTCTCTGGTTCTGGAGACCAGGTTATCACTGGAGATCTGTCTGGTTCTGGAGACCTCTCTGGTTCCGGAGACCAGGTTATCTCTGGAGATCAGTCTGGTGCCGGAGACCAGGTTATCTCTGGAGACCTCTCTGGTTCCAGAGACCAGGTTATGTCTGGAGACCTCTCTGGTTCCGGAGACGGGGTTATCTCTGGAGACCTCTCTGGTTTCGAAGACCAGGCTATCTCTGGAGATATGTCTGGCTATGGACACCTGGCTGGCAGTGCAAGCGCTGAGCTGTCCAGTAGAGAATCTGGTCTAAGCAGTGCAGATGTTTTTGGATCTGGCCACAGTGAAGAAGGGTCTGGGATCACTGTTGTTTTTTCAGGCACTGACAGCATTCTTTCTGGAGAGAGCTCAGTTTCAGGAGACCCTGAAGAAGCTGGAGAAGGGAGTACAGAGATTCTTACCTTCCCTTCATCTGAAGCAGGCTCTGGAATGCTCAGCGGTAGCGGGGACCTGTCTGGATCTGGGTTCAGTTCTGCAGAGCAGGGCTCAGGTGTAAGTGGACAATTCTCTGACATGGGGTCTGGTTTCATCACCACCCAAGGCTTTTCTGGGTTCAGTGGTTTCCCATCAGGGTTCTCCTCTGGAAGTGCTAGTGGACAGTCAGGAGAGCTTTTAGGAAGTGGAGATACTCACATCATATTAATAGATGATGAACTGATCAATGCATCAACTTCTTTTACCCACAAGCAGTATGAGCTTGGCGGAGGACTGCTGGTGTTCAGTGGTTCTGAAGACATTTCTGGATCTGGGATTTCCAGTGGTGATTTCAGTGGCTCAGCTTCTGGAAGAGGTTCAGGGTTCTTCTTGGGCGTGACCTTTGTGGGGTCAGGCTTTACTGAGCTTACAGTGTCATCTTCTGGAGAAGAGGAGGCCTCTGGATTTTTATTCTACAGTTCTGGACAGGAAAGTGGTGAATTTTTGTCTGGTTTTGGAAGCTCAAGTTTCATCTCTGGGTCTGGATCGGGAATGTCTGGATCTGAATACTCTACAAGTGGAGAAGAAGGCAGTGTTACATTCTTGACTGGGGATTTTATGACAGAGGTATCTGGAGATATTTCATTGTCTGTGGAGCTTGGACAGGGGCCAGTGGAGTACAGTGGAGAAGGAAGCAGTAGTGGCAGTGGCTTCTACTCTGGCAGTGGAGACCAATTTTCCACAGCCAACGATTTTCCTTCAGGATCTACCTCTGGAGATATATCCAGTGACTTGATACTTACAGTGGGACCAGAGGAAGTTGCTGCTGAAGTGACAGAGACCCCTGGTGATGTGTATGTGTCCCAGAGTCCCGCATTTGTCCCATCAGGACTGGCTGCTGCTCCCATGACAGCAACCTCAACCTCTATGCAGACACCAGCCACTGCTGAAGAAGAAGGTAGGATCCTTTAAATCCAACAGTCACTGGTTGCATGATAATCTAATATTTGTCAGTTTATTACCATGTTTTCTGTAAAACCAAAGTGTGTGTGTTGGGGTAGGGTGAATGTGGGTGTCCTGTCAGTATGGTGAACAATCAAACAATATTCCCCATCACAGAGACTTTGCATGCTGATGAGAGTGGATTAATTACTTCTCAGGACTATGGCCTGTCCCTGGTTTTAAGCATTTTCTCTTGGATCAAGTGTGCCAGACAGTACCAGACACATCTTTGATCAAGTCTGCTGATGATACAACTTTGTTGTTCTTTAGTTCATACCAAAACAGGGCAAGGTGCTGAAAGTTTTCATCAGATCTACAAAACCTGCTTTTCAGTATAGTCATTACAACACTAACATTACAGTACCCACTATTGTAGTTCCACTGCTGTGATTACATTAGCAAAATAGATGCATCTTAGAACTGTGCTAAAAATGCATAGTTCAGAAATACTTAAAACTTTGTGGATTTAGAGAAAGCGTACGACAGAGTGCCGACGTGTGAAGACGGTTGGACCAAGTTTCAGGGGAACTGCTACCTGCACTTCTCTGACAGAGAGATGTGGCTGGAAGCGGAGCAGCGCTGCCGGGACATGAACGCCCACCTGGTCAGCATCATCACACCAGAGGAGCAAGTTTTTGTCAACTGTGAGTGCACAATGATGTGCTTGTGTCCATAGAGAGAATGAAAACCACAGTCGTCTCAACACTCTCTCCTTCCACAGCACATGCGCAGCACTATCATTGGATTGGACTGAATGACAAGGCAGTGGAGAATGACTTCCGCTGGACAGATGGCACTTCACTGGTGAGTGAGGACATTGGTGTGTTACTCCTCACTAAACTGTACATATAACATTTAGGAGCCTAAATGTAATTTGCGTTTTGGTTGACTTGAGTAATTTAAGTTCATAGGTGAAGCTTTAATTTATCTGATTCACATTAAATAAGTGGGAGCAATATTCATAACATAAACTATTCAAGTTCATTGTTTAGTCTCTTAGATGTAAAAATGCATGTATTGATAATGCTGATTTGTCCCTAATAAGTAGTTAAATTTGTTTGGAGGCGGGGGAGGGGCTTTCGGCGGAACAAGGGGGGCCTTCGTGAGAGAAAGGCAGTAGATACGTGGAAATTAGGAACTGTGGAGCAAAACAGTTTTTTGACCTCGCTTTATGGCTATCTCTCGAGTTGTTGTTTTCGTTTTTTACATTGTCATTTTATACTTCAAGTGGACGATGTTGAGTTTTGTTTAAGTAAAAACATTATAAACTATAAAGAAGAGTTTTGTGTGGATTCATGGATGTGAAACAAAGGGACATAAGGGCGTCAAGCTGAGGCTCCATGGTGCTGTGGAAATTACACATACCATGCAAACTGATGCATAGTAAGAGATTCAGATGAAAAGTTGTCCCTCTAATCTGCTCTCTGTGTTAGCGTTTACCTGGATGTAAAGTATTCTCTGTGTTTGCTCCTCTTCTTCAGCAATTTGAGAACTGGAGGCCAAACCAGCCGGATAACTACTTTAACTCTGAGGAAGACTGCGTGGTGATGATCTGGCATGAAAACGGCCAGTGGAATGACGTGCCCTGCAACTACCACCTGCCATTTACCTGCAAGAAAGGCCCAGGTACATCTGGTTCAAGCCTAACATCTGCTAATGGTTAAATCTGTAGCAAAAATGTTTAAACTTTGTCACAAGGGTTCAGAAAAACCCTGACATAAGATAGCTGTAAAATTAGCTCAGGAAATACCTGCCAGAACCCAGCCTAAACAGAAAAGACAAACATGACCCACAGATGGTTAAATCTGATTTGAATAGATGGAACCAGTAAGAATACAGTCATTAGACCTAATCCAAGTGAGGTTGACCCAAATCCAATGGGTTTTAATTCTTAATTCCTTTACTGATATGGTAACACTCTTAGCTTTGTAGATTCTGTACATTATTATGTATTTTAATGTTGTATGTTTTGTCGTGCCTGGAACTTGCTATACTGTTGTCTTGGCCGGGCTTCCTTGTAAAAGAGGCTGCTAGCCAAAGTGGGATTTTCCCTGGTAAACATATGAGTCAAGCATATTGCCTTGCAAACTATTCACCCATTGAAACAGTGACTTGACTTGGGGCCCTGGGTCATGTGAAGACCTCTAGTGGGTAGCAGAGCTTTTCTACAGAAAACATTTGTTGCTGGAAATGTGGTCAAAACAATACAATAAAGGAGGCTATAAATCTTCAAAGAGCTACAGATCTGTAGTGCCATAATTTCAACACAATGGGTGACCCCGTATACACAGCTGTTTGGTTCAGTGTTCATAAAAACTTACTGATTAATGCAGATTTAAATACTACCGGCTCTAGGTTATCCGAGCCGTAGTTGACTGAGCCCTAAGTGGACACATGGCTTGATATGGTGCACTGCAACCTCTGGTTGTGTCCTCAGTGTCTTGTGGCGCCCCGCCAGAGGTGGAGAACGCCCACATGTTTGGTAACAGGAGGGAGGAGTACCCTGTCAATTCACTCATCCGGTATCAATGCAACCCAGGATTCACACAGCGCCACACACCGGTGGTTCACTGTAAAGCTGATGGACAGTGGGAGAAACCCTTGGTTAAATGTATGAAAGGTAAGTGAACTGCTTATGGACTCTGCATTTATGCAGTTTGTAGAAAAACCTCACTGGCAGATGAGGGTGACTATGTTACTTTAAACAATGACTCACCTGTGTCATGTTTTTCCCCTCACAGCAGTGAAAGCCACAAAAAGAAGACAGCAGAGGGGCAGCAGGAGCCCAGCAGCCAACAGCAAGGTCCACTGAGAGGTTAAAGAGGAATCATTTTAACAGAACATTTACAACAGAAGAAGATCAATTTTCCATCCAGGTGAAGATGGTTTGAAGGGTTAAATTGCTGGAAGGCTCAAATGAGAGGTGCTATCACAGTAGTGTGTTTTGTTTCTTCTATTTCCTGCCTCTGATAATATATTTTAATTAGCAATAATAACTACATTGCTTGGAGTTTATTTTCATTGTGTGTATTGTAATATAACTTTTATGAAATGAAACTGTGCTCTGTTGAAGTTTTACATTTATATGCAGCAGCATCTGTCTGGTTCACTGTAGTCTGCTGTGCATGAGGTAAGGTACCAGAAACTTGTGTGTCTGTGTAGGAGAAAAAAAACACAACAGGGGGAAATACTTCTCTGGAAAGGTTAAAAGCAAATAGTGTGTTTTGAAAGTACACATCAATCATCCTCATTCCTCCTGTACCAAATGGCATATAGAGTTGACAACATACATTTTCAAACAGTGTTCTTTGGGACTAAAATATGTTTGTTCACCCTCTTGCTAAGAGATTTTCTATTTATTTTACCAGGAGGTCCCATTGGGATCAGGATCTCTTGGATGAGGGGATTCTCATGACTGTTAAATGAGAGAAATATTAAACTACAGTCAGGAGCCGATTGTTAACTCAGCAACAGAAAATGGAAACATGTAAAACACAGTCACCTTTTTACATTTTGTTTTTGTGCAGATAACTGAGCTGTAGAGGGGCTGGTAGATGGATATTTTTAACTCTTCGTATAGAGCAAACCCTGCCCCTGTGTTTCCAGTTTTTACACCAAGCTAAGATAAGATAACTGTTCTCTGGCTGTAGCTTTATGTTTAGTGTACAGACATGAGATCGGTGTTGATTTTTTCATGTGTAACCTTCACACATCAAACTATAGCAGCCACAGAGCACAATCCTGATGAAGCTGTAATTTCTTGTGTCACATGTCCAACTTGCATCTGAGATACTAATATCCTAAAATATATTCATTATGGATGTGACACTTTTAGGATTTTTGAATGTTATCTGACCATTTCACACCTCTAAAGTGTCTTTACGCTATTAGACGTGGTTAGAATATTGACCTCCCTACATGAGTGGAAACAAAAGAAGAACCACGGATAGAAAATATTTATTTTAAACTAAGCCACGAAGAGAGCAGATTATGTGCTTGTGACCCAGAGTTTGTCAGAATGGCTGGTTTGTGTTTTGCTTTGTTTTGTTTTTTGTGTGTTTAGTCACTTCAGTGGTTTTTGTGGAGCAGGTGTCTAGTGATGTAATGTTTGTAACCTCACAGTGTGAACTGCCTGTTGTTTTTCCCAACTTTGACTGCTGTCATTTGTGCACTTGTTTTGTGTCACTGTTGCTGTGTGTGGGGGCTGTGCCTCCTTCAGACATACTGTCACCTGCTGCATGATAAAGACAGAGAATTCAGTTTGCAGTCTGTACATGTATCTGCTGTAGCACCATTTTATTCACTCACTGCAGGAATAAGGCTGGTGATATTGGGGTGGCTGTGGCTCATGAGGTAGGGCAGTCGTCTCCTGACCAGCAAGTTGGTGGTTCGACTCCCGGTCTCCCCGCATGCCTAAGTGTCCCTGAGCAAGACACTGAACCCCGAATTGCTCCTGGTGGCTTGACTAGCGCCGGTGCATGGCAGCTTGTCGTCATCAGTGTGTGAATGTTGTGTGTGAATGGGTGAATGGTGTATCATCTCTGTAAAGCGCTTTGGCCAGTGCAACACACTGTGAGAAAGCGCTATATAAAATACAGTCCATTTTTTACCATATTCTACATGTTTTCTTATTAATCCTCTGAAAAGAGAAAACATGAAAATAGTCCCCAACAAATGCACTGTTTCCTCCTGTTTGTGTTTGATAAAAACTACAGTGACCAGCAGCGTTTCAGGAATTTATTAAACCTTTTTAAAATTAAAACTATATATTTGTCATGCAATTTTGAAGATTTACACAGTTGGAAAATACTGAAAGCTGGACATTAACAGATTGCTGGTTTAGGTCTTCTCATGAGATGTGTATACAAAAGCATAAGCAAAAAACTTTATCTAAAGAAAAACCACGGTGATTTGAAAAGCACCACAGTGAAATAAAACGCTGGTTCTTTGCACTGGGCAGATAAGAACAAGGAAGTGATTTAACACAGATAATAAACAGATAAACACATTTCCCTCATCTGTACATGACACGACTTTTGATTGTTTTATGGCACCAAGGTGTTGCAAAAAAACCCCACATGAGCTCCATGTCTACTCTAGAAACACACCAGTCAGTGCTAAATAAAGACACTTTGTTTCTTACCTCCTGTAATGAATTCAGGTTTCTGCCATGGTTGTACAGCTCTGGCCTAATGAATACACTGCAGAAATCAGGCAGCCCTCCATCTGTCCAGGAGGGTCGCCACCCAGATGTTCCAAGTACAGACAACAAACACGTCTAAGTCTCTGTCTCAGTGAGTTCAGTGTTTCTGTGGCAGCAGCTGGAATAAATGGGATACAGCACTGATTCATAGCAATAATAAAATTACAGTAAATTTGTATTTGCCCAACAGGGTGGGTTTCACATGGCATCAGCACTGCTTTATGACTGAATAGAATTTTTTTAAGGACCCTCAACACCCCACCCACTTGTTCACCTCTCTGCTCCGAGCATCTGGATGAATCATCTCTCTCTCACTCTCTGTTTGGAGGATATTTTGAACCTGATATTATCAGAAAACCCAAAATGTTTGTTATAACCTAAAACATCAGTTCTTCCTGCTGTGAGGAAACCACCCACCTCAGATTACAGCAAATTACAAACACTACCCTTAAACTGTTTGTCAGACACCAGAGTTCATATTTTTACTGCTTGAGGTTTGAATCTCATTGACATTAAAACTATAAACTGTATCAGATAAAGGTTGCACAGACTGGATAATAGAGTGATGACTTAACTGCCTGGGTGTAAGTATTTTAAAGGAACAGGTCTAGGCCTATATTATTCCTCTGTATGCTAAATGTGAAGCTTTCTCTGCAAGAAAGCAAATAAGCCTATTTACCAAAATATTAGCCACAGGTGTTGCAAGCCAGTGAAGATAAGGAAACATGGTGGTGGAACGAGGAAGTACAGGACAGCATTCAGAGGAAGAGGCTAGCTAAAAAGAAGTGGGACGTAGAAAGGACTGAAGACAGTAGACAGGATTACAAGACATTGCAGTGTAGAGTGAAGAAGGAGGTGGCCATAACCAAACAGAAAGCATATGATGAGTTGTATGCCAGGTTAGACACGAGGGAAGGTGTGAAGGACTTGTACAGATTAGCGAGACAGAGAGATAGAGATGGGAAGGATGTGCAACAGATAAGGGTGATTAAAGACAGAGATGTAAAGGTGCTAACAAGTGAGGAGAGTGTGCAGAGAAGATGGAAGGAGTATTTTGATGAATGAGGAAAATGAGAAGGAAAGAAGGGGGAAAGAGGTGAATATTGTAGAGTAGAAGGTAGCAAAGATTAGAAAGGATGAGGTGAGGAAGGCTTTGAGGAGGATGAAGGGTGGAAAGGCTGTTGGTCCAGATGACATACCTGTAGAGGTGTGGAAGTGTCTAGGAGAGACAGCAGTGGAGTTTCTATCTAGTTTGTTCAACAGGATTTTAGAGAGTGAGAAGATGCCCGAGGAATGGAGGAGAAGTGTACTAGTGCCGATCTTTAAGAACAAGGGTGATGTGCAGAGTTGTAGCAACTACAGAGGTATAAAGTTGATGAGCCACACAATGAA